CAAGAAAGACATGGTGCACTCTAAAAATGTTACTAAGAAACCAATCTATGTCCCAGCTTGCTAAGATATTCTGAATTTCTGCAGATACCATCACCTTCTCTGGGACTGCCAGTTGGCATGAAAACACATCTTATGGCTGAATATCCCACCATTCTGAAGTCTTTTTCAAGAATACCAGGACTTGGGGGAAATATATGTGAAAATATTTAATTATCAGATTCTAAGTTTAACTAGCACATACCAAACACAACCCCGGGCCCCTAGTTGAAAAATACTTGCTTTAATTGCCAATATCTCTCTTTACCTTTTAGAAACACTGACATGGTTACCGCTGCATCTTTGAGGGATGAATCAGCCAGTTGGTGTTTCAATGTCATTTGCTGTCTCTTCCTTTTCTCCTTCTCATCATTTGGACGTCTGACCATGTGTTTACCCTGATCAAACCCATCCATTCACTTCTATTCTTATTAAAAGTTCTGGGAAACATTGTGGAAGGAAAAAAAGTTAGAAACTAGAGCTATGGGTGCAAAGGAAGCTTTGGATTACCTGTGGATTTTGAACATCTCTTCCATTCCTGACCCCTCAACAGCGTGGATAATTTGGTATTTCGATATATGAATGAATAGCCACAAATGACTGATAAAAACACGTCTACTTTTCACAACACGGTTCCAGGAGCAGTTCGCTACAGGTCCCGTCTCTGCTGGTGCGCCAATCCTGAGCCCCACCGGAGTGCAGCCTTCTCAGCAGCTACTGTCCCTTTGCGTGGCCGTGGGGGCATGAGGCAGGGAGCACGAGACACCTGGCAGAGTCACACAACCGCGCACACAAAATGGCAGAGAAAGAGCAAGAGCGAAAAAGATTCTGGTTTGGGCCCAAATCACTAGTTGCTTCACTTCATGAATAAAAGCAAGTGCCTTATAAGCTCACGTTATTTACAATGCTCGGATTGTTCAAACATCCACCCAAAGCCGAGGACCACCACGCAACAGGGAACAATTCAATGAACTATGTACAGAATTTACAAGGAAGTTTACATAATATTCTACATTCCATTAACAAGTTCTCCTTTGTTTGCTTTCAGGAAACTGAGATACGTGTTCATTTTTCTGTCTTTCTCATCCCAATAATTACTGATTGAACCAACACGAACAAATGCTGGTACATTCCTTTTTCCTCCCTCCTGGGACATAGGATTACCTTTTGTTTAGGAAAAAGAAGGGGGGGGGGACATCACCCTTTGGTGAGATACTATTCAAAATTGTCCATGTAAGAAATCTTGGAGGTCATTTCCTTCTAGCATTATAAATATATTTTGTTTGTTTCACTTGGCGAATTTCAATTGAGTTCTTTCATAAATGAATATTTAGAAAGGAGTCCTTGATTTTGGAAAGATGGAATTTAGTCAGCATTTCTGTGTATTGCACATAATGTTTGCTTAAGGAAAGCCTATCCTTGGATCCATAAACCAAACGTTATTCTCTGCACCACATTTTTCTCTTTGCATTTTCAGGATCTTTCATTGCTTGTAATGCATAATAAAGATGGCATATATGATGTGGGAACACATATCCTTTAGTCAGCAGAATCACCAATCGGTCTGCTGTTTCTGTTTGGCAATACAGAGGATGGAGGCAATAATCCTGGATAATTTAAGCCCAAAGTGTGTCTTTACCTGGGTCTGCCTCACAAAGCTGGTAAGCGTAACACACGTCACCTCTGATGTGTTAAGCCAAGGAACACGAGTGGGAAAAATGAGTGTGTAGTCATCATTGTCAAATGAAAGGTGGGGTTTCTGCTGGGTCTACACAGGTTACACCTATGACACAGCTTATGTCACAGTTCATGAGCTGTGGACATGGGGTGCCCTGGACAGGACTGTGGCGCAGGAGAGTGAGTCCACACAGTCTTCTGCCTCTGTTGCCACTCAGGAATGCAGGAGATTATGGCTATTTTCATGGCAAAAAGAGAACCCAGGAAGAGCTAGATAATAGCCTAGATAGTAACCCCTCCATAATGTCCTGATCTGAATCTTTCAGGAATGGGGACCAAGGGGAGGGCACTTAGGAATGTCTAACAACTTTTATGTCCATCATTTAGAGCAAGAAAAAGGAGAGAGGCAGAGAAGGAAGGAATGTTTCCCAGGCGCCATTAAGCCTGGAGGGAGTGTGGGTGGGGGCCGAGGAGGAGGGGATTTGGCTGGGAGGTGTCCGGAAGAAGGAAGTGGGTACGGAGGTCATGAACCAGAAATATGTCAGCTTCTCCAGTTTTCAGGCTACCATTGCCTCTCAAATCAAAGCCACTTAATAGGATTTGCACCATCCTGTGGCTGTGACCCTTCTTCAGGCCAGGAGGACATACAGTGACACCATTTTGTGCCTGGTGGTAGATTCAGACTTACTAATCTTTCATTTTACAAAGGTTAAGATAGAAGAATTCAAAATGTTCTCTTTTTCTCAGAGATGCTTTACCTCTAAACGACAAACATCAAATTCCTTAGACTTTTAAGGCAAGATAAAAAAAAATAATAAAACTATAAATTACCTCAGTCTTTTCCAAGGAGAACGATCTAAACAGATGAATAAAGAAAAATTGTTTTGTTAAGGAGCATAGATTATAGATACTTCCTTTCTCATTCAGCATTTCATCCTTAAAAGCTTGTTAAAGAGCTTTGACACCAGAATGATTCATTCCTGTTAGGCAACAGCCAAGAGTCTCCCTTCCTGTGTTTAAATACACAATTGGTCCTGGATGGTCATTGGGAATATTAACCTCACAATCACCGGTATGGTCACATTTCATTCTATTTGGGCATTTCATGATGGCAAAGCATCTTTCCCTGCCAAGAACTGGTCAGTTGCAAAATGGATCCCTTCATCCCGGGAGGCTGGACATTGTCTTGACCAGGGAACTGTGATTATGCAAACTGAAAACCTAAGTGCAAATTTGGTCCCCATACCCTGCTAATTTCTTATGAAACCATTGAGTAAAAGCACAGTTTCTATATTCTTACTAGTGTATATTGTCTATAGCCATAACCATTCATTTATTTTGGGGTTCTCTTTTCTTCTTGCCCTCTAAAAAAGAGTATCTCAAAGCTCTGTCCCCTTGGGGTCATCAGCAGGAATATGGCCTTATCTTTCCAATTAAGACTATAGTTTCTAGCAGCTGATGCTATTGTAAACACGGACCCTCATTACAGCCTTTGGGAGAAAGCCAGATCATCAAATGATGCAATCATCCTTACTATTACCTCAACCCTTATTTGACATCCAGGGATCAGATTCCAAAATTGCCTCCATCACTGGTTGGTCATTTTAGGGTCTCACTCAACCTTGCAAATGAACGTACAGAATTCTTAGCTACTTAGACTGAAAAAAATTAATGAGACTTTAATGACATAAAATGGGATAAACCTCAACTGTAGCTGGTTGGACACGTTTAGAAGTGTGTGTTGGGCTACTGAGGGATGCCCCTTCGGTGACTCATGACCACAGTAACCCATGAACAGAGATAAGGCAGAGCAGTGATGACAATGATTCATGAGTGCAGACACATTCTATACTTTAGGGGCTGGTATACATGTTTGAAGGCCCAGTGATTCTGTCATTGTTGGTGTTATCTGTGGTTTTCCTATTTTGAAGTTTTTCTTTAAAATAGAAATCTGGCCTCAGAGGAGAATGACAGCAAAGTGGGTGTATGTGCATTTCCTGAAGCATTCATCTCATACTTTGGAATGCCGAGCTCAGAGAGCAGAGCCCTATGGTGCTTGCTGAGGTCTGTCCAACAAGGCCTGTCACCATTAGGCGCTGCTCTCTGGAAGGCTAAGAAATATACACTATTTGATTCAAGATTTGGCGGTTTAGGTAACTGCCCAGGCACCCTTTTCACAGCACATAAGACTTGCCTTCCTCATGGAAAGGGCAAGCTTTTTTTTCAAGCAAAAAGTGCTCACCCTCCCATTAAGGAAGCCCTCCTCCTCCCTTCTCTTCCCTCACTCTCTTTGGAGCAGGGCCTGGGGTCAAGCGCAGGCACGGCTTCAGGGCACAGAGGCAATGAAATGAGTTCAGGGCTGCTCATTTGAATAGTTAAAGAAATCACCATTGCCCCAGACTCCTTATTCTCAACAAGAGAAAGATGTTCTCAGTGGCCACCAGGATGGATTCTAGTGCTAGTTTTAAATCTGCTTGCAAGTCTGAGAAAGAAGCAGTTTTTTTGTTTTTTGTTTTTTTCCAGACTACCTAGCTGAATAGTAAGGTGAAGATGCCAGATTTGTTTTGCACAACCTCCGTCAGCCCTTCTCAATCCCTCCCTCCCGTCCCATGGAGCGGGGACCCCTTCTACAAGGGAGTTTTGGGGACTTGAGGGTGGAGGGGAGTCTTCCTTCCTGGTCTAGGCTCCTTTTATCCCCCGCCCCCCTTCTTCCTGGAAATCTGTAACTTGTCAATGGCTTTGTTTTTTCTTCTGAGATCCTGGAAATTGTGTTGTTTTTTGGCAGCATGAAATTGTTACAGTTTACCAGGAAGCAGTGTGCGCAGAGAGCTAAGTCCTCTTCATTCTCATTTGAAAAATAAATCAATAAAATCCAGGGCAGGTAGGAAGGACTGCTAAAGATCTATCTATCTAACTTCTCTCTTTGTGTGTTGTTTGTGTGTGTGTGTGTGTGTGTGTGTGTGTGTGTGTGTGTGTGTGTGTTCTGTAAACATGGCAATTAATAGAGCTCTGAAAGAGCTGATAACCTGGACCACAGTAGACTGGAAAAAAAATAAGTTTTTTTGGTGTGTGTGCGTGCGCGTTTGTGTGTGCGTTTGTGTGTTTTGTTTTTGGAAGTAAACATGGTGCAGTAATAAAATTGATATGCAACACCTAAAACCAATTGGATGGCTGAATCTCTTACCTCAAAAAACACAGCAGTATCGCTGCTGCTGGGGGCGGGGGCGGGCTGTGGGGTTAAGAATCAAGAGAAGAGGAGAGTAGTCTACGAACCATTAGGACAGACCTTAGTGTACGTAGTAAAGCCAATAAACGACGTTAAAAAGAGAAAAGGTGATGGGGAAGAACATTCGGGACCACTTGTCTATGGAATTCACATCAGTCAAGTCGGGGATTTTGACTTTGAGCTGCGAGGCGCGCCGGCGGATGCGCCCCTTGCTGTGCGCGCCGTGCCGGTCCAGCGCGCGTCCGTAGCCCTCGCGGCTGCTTAGCGGCTTGCGGTACTGGATGCTGGCGCTGTCGTACGAGTACATGCTGGTGGCCTTGGGCTCGCTCACGCCCGTCAGCACTTCCGAGCCGCTCGTCTCGTTCCGGATTTCCAGGGTGCTGAGCAGAATGTTGCCGTGGGCGTCGACCTGACGAGAAAGGGACAGGCTCAGGCACAGCTGTCGGGACACTGGCTGTGTTCATTCACCTGTAGGCTGATGACACCGCACGCGGCTCATTAGAGACTGTCCCGCGGCACGTCCTGCTCTGCGGGCCTCCAGGACTTGAAGATGACCTGTCATCTCTGTATCTCTCATCATTATTTACCTAATCTACCACCCATCTATCGAATCCATCACCTGTCTACGTCGGTTTCTCTCGCTCTCTCTCTAAAGCATCATCTGTCTATAACTGTCTCTATCTAATCCATCATCTATCTATCTAATCTACTATCTACCTATTTAATCCCTCACCTATTTGTCTAACTAATCTACCATCTATCTCTCGTCTGTCTCATCCTTCATTTATCTGCCTGCCACCCATGCAGTCTACTATGTATCTAATCTACCAACTAGTTATCTACCATTTATTTATTTATCATACATCTGTTTATCATCTGTCTAATCTACCATCTATCTATTCATCCATACATCATTTATATGTATGTATACTTGTAAATATATCATTTATAACTGGCAATTTTTCATTTATCTTTTTCAAAAGTGGCACTTTTCAAAATCACTTTTTCAAAAGTGGCACATGGAAGTATGTAAAATTAGAAATAAACAGGAAACAAACAAACAAAAAGAAGTAGAAATTTATAATTTCATCTTTAGAGTTCATTATTTTTTATTATTTTTAATATCCTGCCAGCCCTCCTGTCTTTTTTCTGTTTGTATATACTTACAAGCACAGGCTCACCTGGTATATTTTGCTTAGCAATCTGCTTTGGTCAGTTAATAGTGTACCTGGTCCTATTACCATGGTAATAATTATTCCTCTGTGATATCATTTATTAACAGCTTATATGGATAAAGCATAATTGGGTTGACTGCTCTTTAGATGTTAAGGCTTGTTTTACTTTTGCAGTGTTATATAAACAAGCCTGCAAGGGACATCTTTTAGCTAAATAAATCTTTGTGCATCTCCATAATTATTTCCTCAGGCTAAATTGCCAGAAGTAGGATTCAGGGGTCAAAAAGATATGCCTGGCTATGCTTTGACTTCTGTGTCCACCATTATTGATTGCTTCCTGCCATTTGAGTGGTGCCTAGCCCAGATTTCCTGGGTTTTTGTCTATGCTACGCCCACACACATTTACGGAACTACAGAAGATGTGAGCACATTTGACCTGCAGTGTGGCTTTGTTTAACTTCACGCTGATGCACTTTGCAAACTAATTTACCTTGAGGGGATGTGCTCATTCATGCAAATGAGTTTGAAGTACTTCCAAGGGTAGCACAGGGCAGCGGTGTTTGAATCTAGTGTTATTAGCACAGTGCCTGAATTACGGTAAGTGCTCTATAAAGGCTTTCAGATGAAATGAATCTCAGTAAAGACTTTCGAATGCCAAAGGTATAGGAAAGCAGACGAAAGAAACGGGTGACCTAGAAAGACTGAATAAAGCATAGGAGGAGGCAAAGACAGCAAAGAAAGGTAGAGAGAGTGGCGGGATATGATGCTAGTACATCCCTGATGAGAGAACGAAGATTTGAGTGTCCACCATGTGCCTAGCATCATGGTAGCTGCTTTGTATATATTCCTTGTTTATCACCTGCTACAGCCAACTGCATCACGTTTACTCCGCTGCCAGATCGGAGAGTACTACCCGTGTCTTGTCTGTTTCAAAGCTACGTGCTCTTTACTGAGAAAGGACTGCTTCATAGCCCTGGGCCTTCATCACATCCCGCAGTGAATTTAATGATGCATTTGATAGCTTTAAGCTTAGAGGTAGTCGGAGAGAGAGATGGTGACTAAATCCGGCCTCTCCCTCTACTGCCATCTGTCATTTCCCTCTGGAAAGCGTGTGGCTCTAGCCTAATGGAGCTACCCATTATGCCCTCACCGGCACTTCTACTGGCTTCTTTATTCAGGGAGTTAATATTAATTTTTGTTGTTGTTAATACCTACTATTTGTTGAATCCTACTACATAATTTATCTCACTTATTTCTTATAACAACACTATGAAATATATAATATTATCCTAGTTCAGCAAGCAGCGAAATAGAAATTCAGAGAGCTTAAGTAAATGGCCTGCGATTAAACAAAGAAAAAGTGCTCGATTTGGGATTAAAATACAGGATATTCTTTGCCTTAAATATAACTTTCCTTCCTGGGTTTTGCATGTTAATCAATATATTTTCTTTAAGGCTCAGTTGAAATCCTGCTTATGGTGTGTACCTGTGTACCTTCCCTGATTATAGTAACTTCAAAAACCAACTTCGTCTCTCTCTCTTCCTGTCTCTCTCTCTCTCTCTCTCTCTCTCTCTCTCTGCAGATGATATTGAGTACTTATTATGTGCCAGGCACAGTGCTAGGTGTCCGGGAGGGGTGTGTGTGTGTGTGTGTGTGTGTGTGTGTGTGTGTGTGCGCGCACGCGCGCAAAATCAAGTTCACTGAATTGAACTGTTCTGGATATTTTCCGTATGTAAATATAGCAGAACTCATTTCAGTGTAATTGGAATAAAATATAATCTTGTTTTCAGTGTCAGTTTTAAAGCCCTGTTGAGAAATACCTCTGGGCTCAATCTACTTTGCAAACAGAAAGTTATTTCCTTCTTGCTAGCCAATTCAATTAGATTCACATTTACTGAGTGGTTCTGAAGTACAGCACAGGAATCCAAGTGAAGTGAAGTTCACCGCAGAAGGAGATGTCTTTCAGAAGCCCACAATCTATTTAATTGAGGGTATCCGGTGCAAACGGCTGCCTTCACCTGAAAGGAGCAGAGAACCACAGAGCCACGACTCACATCTGCCTGTCCTGCTCAAAGAATGTACCACGTCTCACGCTGTCGCTGCCAGTCATTAGCTCTCACCAGGGCTGCCAAATGGCAATCCCTTCATCTCAAATTCCTGAAACCTTTTGGTTTGGTGGTGGTGGGGGGCGGGGGCGGGGGGCGGAATGGGAAGCTTTGCTGGAGATGATTTGTGTGTCTCTTTGCCATGTCCTGACAACCAGTGGTAGAAGCAGAAACTTCATTGTCGTTTCAAGACGCTATCGAAGATTAAGCACAAACCTACATAAATATAGGCAAATCTGCACTCTATTATTTAGGACATAAAGAAGGAAAAAGAGATAAATGAAACAAGTGGCAATTTTCCAGAACATTACTCAGGTAGAGGAATTTCTCCTGGATCCCTTTCTTTGCCTCGTTTCTCCCATTCAGTGTATGAGCAGATCCAAATGGCTTTACTTTTGAACGCATTCTGATTCTGACCACTTTTCCCCATCATCATGTCTTACTGCATAATTGATCTTCCTCTTTCCAGGAAGGAAGCCTGGTGGTCTTTTCTCTACATAGCAGCTGGAGTAATACTTAAAAAATGTAAACCAGACCAGGTCTCCCCTGTTTAAATCTAGCTACTTCCCAAGACAAAGAACAAAATCAGATTTCTCATCCAAATCTGCAAAGCACCCCGTGGTTTGAAGTCCTTCAGGGACCTCTGCCCTCAGTTCCTACCACTCTGCTCTGGAGCCCTCTGCTCACACTGGTCTTTTGTTGGCTGGTCCCTGATGCTCCTAAGTCCTCAAGGCATTTTCACCTGCTGTTCCTCTCTCCTGGAATGATCCTCCTCAGGTGGTTACCTGCCTACCTCCTCACCATTTTCTTCACCATAATTATCATCATTTGCCATTATATCATGTATTTATTTACACATTTGTTATTCAACTGAGATGTAAGCTCCAGGAGAGCAGCTGCTCTTTCATTACTGTTACTATTCATCACTGTATATCGCCTGCGCACTCCCGGAAAAGAGGCTGATGCTGTGCCAGAGCACCTGAGTAAATGTCTGTACAGTGAGGAACTCTGACACTCAGACGTGGAGTCGTCTGTCTGAATTCTGTTGTGTTTCAATGGCCAAGGACACGTAAGTGGCTAGAATCTCTAGGGTAGTAGTTCTCAGACATTATCGGGCATCTGAATTTATTGGGAAGCTTGTTAGAAATAAAGGTTTGAGCTCATTTCATTCTAAATTAAGGTCTTCCCGGGGCGCCTGCGTGGCTCAGTTGTTAAGCGTCTGCCTCCGGCTCAGGTCATGATTCCAGGGTCCTGGGATTGAGCCCAGCATCGGGCTCCCTGCTCGGCGGGAAGCCTGCTTCTCCCTCTCCCACTCCCCCTGCTTGTGTTCCCTCTCTTGCTGTGTCTCTCTCTGTCAAATAAATAAATAAATAAAATCTTAAAAAAAATAAATAAATTAAGGTCTTCCCAGTCTGCATTTTACACAGGCATTGCAAGGGTCCTAGCTGATACTGGTGTACCTAAAAATCCATAAAGCAGTTAACTGATTTCAGACAGGTAAGAATGAATTACAAATATGCACCGTTCAAGCCTGAGAGATAACATAACATGAAGGTTGGGGAGTAATTTCTTAAGCTGATGTGAGTGGGAGTTCATTGAGCTTTGAGGAGAGAATGATAGAAACAAGAAAACAGGAACTATTTTATACATAGGAGCGTTTTATACATGGGCTTAGGGAGTCCCAATATTTGAGATGAGTGCTTTTTACAATTAAATATAAAATGCATTATAATCAGCAAATTCATTGAACTCTGAATGATGCAAACAAAGGCCATTTTTTGGATTCATCTTCAGTGAATCCCCTTAAAATATTCATCCCAAATTTCTTCAGTAATGTTTTGCTCTTCAGGTAAATAAAAGAGGGATTTGGGGGACGCCTGGGTGGCTCAGTCGGTTAAGCATCTGCCTTCGGCTCAGGTCATGATCTCAGGGTTCTGAGATCGAGTCCCGCATCAGGCTCCCTGCTCAGTGGGGAGCTTGCTTCTCCTTCTGCCTTCTGCTCCCCCTGCTTGTACTCTCTCTCTGACAAATAAATAAAATCTTTAAAAAAAAAAAGATTTAAAAGAGGGATTTTGGTCAGAGAAATCATTACTTTTCACATAGTTGAAAAGGAGATATTTAAAATGTG